TAAATTTTTTTAACATTTTCTAATGGTGGTGTGCCTTGTGATTTTTTTCATGAAAAAAGTGTGCCTTTGCACAAAAAAGGTTGAAAAACACTGTGATAGGCGGTATTCCGGGAGGCAGATCCAATCGCCAATCAGCTGCTCGTGCTAAATCAGGCTGTGCTGAAGCTAACCAGGCTGTTTACTGTTCGCTGCAAGGAGGCAAATTGCTGGGAGGCAGAGGCCAAAGGGTGGGGGCCGGTGGGTGGGCGAGTTTCGGCAACATTTGTTGTATAAGACGCACACACATTTGGGGGAGGTGCGTCTTATAAACTGAAAAATGCAGCATATAGTGCAAGTTAAAATAATAAATGTATACATTTAAAACATTTGTTTAGCAAATCGTGAATTAGAGTTCTCACCTTCTCTATTATCCACCTACCCCGAGCCCCAAGATCTGTCCAGCCCTGATTCTGCTGTCCTTCAAAAGAATACCCCCATCTATCATCCTATCTCTCTTCTAAAGCACTGGGCAAGGATTTAGATGTATGAGCCTATTATTGAATCTGAGCACATTCTACTTTTTTGTGGATTTTTTTCCCAATGGCATGGCCATGTGCGTGGGTTATTTTAAATTGTTTTAATCCCTGTAAGCTATGCATGAGTTGGCAGCTGAAGGGAATGGATGGATGGAAGAGTTTTTACAAAATACACTGAATTGTTCTTTATATTTAATTGTTATCTTATTCTTTGGTGAAGTTTAAATAATTTAAATAACATTTCTACCAGAAATGATGCAATAATTATTTGCAAAATAACACTTAGGCAATACTGATTCCATAAATATTGTACAGGAACATTTCTGAATAATATCGTTTTTTCTTTTGAATATTTTGGGGGAAAAATGTGTAATTAGAACTTAAACATCTTTATTAACTGTTAATACTGGTAAGAAGTATTTCAGTAATATCCAGTTTATTATTAACCTCGTGAAATATTTTAACCTAATGCAGATTATAAACCGTTCAACAACAGAACTTCCACTGACAGTGTCATATGATAAAATATCATTGGGAAAACTGCGGTTTTGGATTCATATGCAAGATGCTGTTTACTCCCTACAGCAATTTGGTAAGCCTCTATTTCTGGATTGTTCATGGAAGTACAGTGGACTGTTTGATAGACTGGTTTCGATCAGGAATTCCGCATGATATATTTTTTAAAAATGTGAATTCTTACAGGTTGTCCTCTGATTATATCCATTCATTCAGTAACCATTCAAAGTTAAGATGGTGCTGGAAAAAAATAGACATACAACCAGTCCCTGAAGTTCCAGTCATCGCAGCACCTCTGCAATCATGTGATCCAGTGGTGGGTTTCAAAAATTGTTGGAACCTACTCTGTGGGTGTGGCCTCCTTTGTGGGAGTGGCTTGCCACCCATGTGACCGGATATGAAA